CTGAAAAACACATATGTTATAGCATGAAATTGAATAAATATATAGTGATAGTAAAATTGAAGATGCCCCCAAAATCTTAGTGTTTTAGAGGAACAGCACTGAACTCTGTTGAAATATGAGTGGCAGTTACACATTGGAAAATACTTGCTCATTTCTTCAGAGTGCTAAAATTAGGCTGCCAAAATTAGGGAAATGTTGTTGCTTCACCCTTCCATTAAACAACAAGGAAAGCACACACTGACATCATTAAATGCTTTACAAGTATTCCAATAAAAATGTCTATGTAATTTAAATGATGTCAAGTGCCCTCTGCTTTCTCCCCTCAAGCATTTCAGGTCAAATACTTGAACAACCAGTTAGAAGACAGTGTAAAGCTATTTCATCCTTTTCTTCTTCAGTTTTTCTGCAGTTAGAAAAAAAGACAGGAAAATCAGTGGGAAACACAGGAGGGTTGTAGAAAGAACACTACTTCATTTGGATCCCCCATAAAATTCCACAAATGAGGCAGGGCAAAATGCCTAATCTGGAAGCAGCTGTTATCAAGCGTAAGGGGCATTGGTCAAGAACAAAGGCAAGTAGGAGGCATCCCTCCAACCAATGTGCACGCATCCTCCTGCTGCATCAGCAAAGTCATCCAAATGAAAAGGAGCAGATGGTGCTATGGAGACATCCTGTATCTGAATTACAATCAATGTGGCATCCAAGTCCAATTGGAAGCAAGCTATTTTATCCTCAAAAAGTGTTCACAAGAAGGTCACAGTGGGCTGCCATGAGTTCATAATGATGTGTGTGGGAACATGCTTTCACTTTATCACTTGAAAAAGCTCTACTATATTACACTGAGTATACATGATACTGGCAGAAAAGGACAAGGTCAGGAAATACTGCCCAAGAGTATTTCAGGATATAAGTATTCCAGACAAATAAACACAAAAGTTCTTTTTCCCCCTTTGCTGCTACCATCAGAACAGACCCTTAAGTGGCTTCAAGCCTAGGTTTGATCAGATATGGCACATGTTCTTTCACACAGTTGTCATTCCATCTGCTTCATTATGTTGGAATACCCGTCTGTAGTCAATAGGAGGAGACATTTTAAGGGTGATCTCATCTAATAATGCATATCACAGATTAGTATGAAATGAATCAATGAATTACTTTAATTTGGTCATAGACCAGTAAAATGCAACACAAGAATAATAAAATAAGCATGATCCCAATAAAAAGAAGTCATTAACATAATCTAGATACTTAAAATGCAGTAAAATCAGTACATATAATGAGAACTTTAAATTATTACAATACCTACTAATCTCAATCTATGTGGGTTTATGGTAGCTGTGCCAAAGCTTGTCAGAATATACATGTATGCATGTATATATGTATGTTTTGTTTTGGTCATAAACCAGCACGAAGAGCAGCAATATAAAACAGAATAAAACAACATATAAAATACCAACAAATGTAAAACAGGATAAAAGAGAATGAGTACCCATTAAAATTAAAATTCTAATGTAATTTTACTGTCACCTTCTGACAAGCAATAGCAGCTACACAAAAACTAGCTACTTCTGCTGTAACCTGGGGATGGCGATCCAATAAAAGATTATGATATAAAAATGAGTCATATCTACCAGGTATTTTCTGTAATAATAACAGAATGATAAAAGTAAAACAAAGATCAAAATAAACAAAGCAATACAATAAAACATGTCCAACTGTCTCCACTCCCCCACCTC